AGTCCAGCGACGCGCGTGCATTAGGGTTCTTCATCATTCAGCGCGGAGTTCATCGCCATGCCCCGGGGCGCTCAGCACGGGGACGGCGAGTCACTTAGCCGTCAAGTTTCACAGTGAACTTGAGCACCAGTGGCGCAGACTGGTCCAGGGTTATGGGGAGGAGTGGTGGGGATGTAAGGGTTGGAGGTTTTTTTCTGTGAATAGAGGAGTTCAGATCAGTTTGAACACCTATGAACATCTCCGAACTGAAGACCGCTGCCTGCAGCGAGCTTCCTATGGAACATGTACTCTTCCTCTGAGAGTATTCGCAGACATTTCTTGCATTCTTTCTGCGAGATATCCATCTCTTCGACGCAAGTCTGTCGAAAGTGCCCCCCTTAGGACTCAGTCTGAGGCTTATGCAAAGAGACTCCTCTTCTGCCGGCACTGTGTTTCGTCGTCACATGGGGATTGAAGGAAGGCGACTCGGCGGCGGACACTTGGCGATCTGATACCGCACAGGGTGGGCTCGTATGTGCAATAAATAGGCTATTTGTCGTTTTCATGAGCTTGGACTCGCCGGCGGAGAATCTTTACGAGCAGTGAAGCCAGTAGGTGGGTGGTGTACGGTGAAGATTACTTGGTGCATTACTTGGTGAAGATTACTTGGTGCATTACTTGGTGCAGCCCAAGCGTGATGCGAGGTCAGATACATCCAAGAAGGTCGTATTGTGACTGCGCGTTGATACTTACCATCCTTTAGGGCATGCTGACACCTCGTACTCACTGGGGCGTATCTGCTTGCATTTACGGGCCAGATGCAGTCACGAAAGTACAAGTGAGCGTTTGTGTGCGAAGCTCATTCTTGTTAGCTTCGGGAAAGCAGGGCACTTTTGACATCAGGTTGGGACGCTCGTGTGCCTGGGTGCTTTACAGCGTATAGTCGGCCTTGGCAAGGCGACATGCTGTCACCACTGTGAGGTGATGAATCTTATGCTTTGCAAGTGTAGTAAGCTGCTTGGTTTCGCTCCTAAATAGGTCGGACAGACGAGCGCCCAAGGAAAGCTATCTAGCCCCTGGAACGCAGTGATCTATGCTCGGATCGTTTTCGGTAGAAAGGCGGAAAGTGCGAGGAGCTAGGTAAGGGAGAAAGGGACAGTCCAGAGAGGCAAGTTCCCAGAGATAGCTTTTTCGCCATTGAAACGGAGTGTTCTACAGTCTGCTCTTTTTTTTTCTTTTTTCTTTTCGGCACAAAAGCGCAAACCGGGAAGAGTAGGAAAAGGGGGAAGGGGAAGTGTATATTCCGTGCTTTTAACGGTAGGAGGAGAGGTGATCAGTATCCGCCGGAAGAGAAGGAATATAGGGTTAAAGGAAGGCACTGAGAGCTCGCTTGGCAGTTTCCTTCTATGGAAAAGAACAAATAGCCGAATGATTCGTCGCTCGCTTCCGAGATTCTCGTTTTCACCCTCCCGCTTCTCTCCCATGCGCTCTTTTCTGTCAAGCTTACCACACCCACCTTACACACTCTTCTTGGCCCGTTAATTTCGGAACTTGGGCCCTTGAAGGGCTTAATCACACCCCCCTCCTCGTCTACTCATTTTCAAGACCGAGATTAGGTACGTCCTCCATTGAATAAAGAAGCGGTGGCTACAAGAACGAAAGTGAGAGTCGGCCACAGCAAGAGCCAGGAGCTCTGGCAGATTAAGGATAGTTTGAAGAAACAGCGGAGGGATTCTGATGGAGTTGAACGTGCGGTGCTTAATCTGTGGGTGTGAACTAAGATGGGTCTGTGTGATAGGGCAGTGCCATCGGCCTCAAAAAGGTGATGGTGAGGTGTTGAGAGCAAATGATGTCCATCTGAGGAGTACACGGGATGATATTCACAGTTCAGGGGGAGATGATGAGGATAATGAGGATGATGATGATGCTAATAAGGATGATGTTAATGATGATGATGATGATGATGATGATGATGATGATGATGATGATATGAATGGTTGGAATCTTTGGTATCAGAAGACTTGGGATAATGATAATGATGCGGATAATGAATCATTGGAACCGTTGGAATCACCTCAAAATGGTGACGATGATGGTGATGATGATGATGATGATGATGATGATGATGATGATGATATGAATTGTTGGAATCAGAAAACTGGGGATGAAGAAAGGGAAGATGATAGCGCAGGTCTGGGCGGTACGGTCTATTGGGTTAAGAAGAGAAGTGAAGACAGGAATGTGGATTCCAAAGGTGCCAATGACATGAAAGGCAGTGAGCAGAAGGAGGCCGAAGACAACAGTGTTGAAAAAGCTCGTAACTGGCAGGGGAAGAGACGGGATTGGAGAATTCCTTGGTGCAGAGAGAACGTGTGTGT